CCCTCCGGGCAAAGTTCTTGAAGTTGTCAAACTGTCGGTTGCTGAGGCCAAGCTTTTCCTGCACTTGAGCGGGAGAGTCTCGCAGCCTGATGGGCGTTGTGCTCATATCGAAATCGAATCGGAATCTGCGAGTTCCAACGGGTACGGCAGAAGGGGAAGAGGTCAGCAAGTGGACAGCACAGCACAGGAAGAATTTGGCCTGCAATAATGGATGACCCCAGGACCCTCGATGTCTTTTTCAGCCTGACTCCAAATTGGAATGCCGGAGGGAAAGGACATAGCCGTCCGTCACCTGTCACGGTGACCAGGTTTCTGCACTGGCACTCCTGCCCAAGTGCACTATCCTCCCACTACGCATTTTTGCGACTTCTCTTACCAGAACCTGCCCCTCCAATTGGGCTCTGCCCCACCGTGGAATTGCCAAGCGACAAGGACCAACAGTGGGCTTTGCTGTCAGAGGAATTCCATAATCGGTCTCTAGCCGTTGCGAGGCACTCTAAAGCAGAATAGGTTACCCGGATGCGGCGCCGCATGGCCAGGGCCCCAAGGGTTCCAGGGCAGCCAGGCACTCAAGGACAGCCAGGGATGATGCACGCCTTGGCCAGCTTAAGCCTTAGGGAAGCTAGAGCCCTTCAGGAGCCCCCCCGGCTGATGGCGTAGACCGCTGTGACCGCTTTAGAGGGGGGGATCAGTGGGGGTTTGGCTTGACGGAGACAATCATGGGCTTTCCCCGTGCCTATTGCCGTTGAGCCGTTGGAGCCATCTCGAGAGGCGCGGACGATTTTCACCAATCGCTGGCCTGGGCGGTCAACAGGGAGTGACAGGGAGTGGCAGGTCAGGCTGACGGCGACACGCTAGGCCTAGCCCCTGGCTCGCTATATCGTTTCATCGTCGTCCAGACCACTTCCTCTGGCACTTTTGATTCGCAAAGACGTTCCAGTCGTTACAACCTCCTTCATGAAGCGTCGCAGGATCATTTGGCGACCATTTGACGACCATTAACAATTCTGATACAGGCCGCGACACCATGAACAACATGGATTCTGCAATATCTCCCTCTCCTACTGCTCCGTCTCTCTCTTTTTCCTCTCTCTTTCTGTCTCTATCTCCTGACTTCTCCTTTACCTTCCATTTCACCGTACTTTGCTTACCGCCTTGCGCAGTGGACTCTGCAGCATCGTTATACCTTTTACTTCCAACAATCTCGCTGGCGAGAGACTTGGCTTTTTATCTCAGCCTTCTTTACGACCTTTTACGCTCTGACGCCCGTTATACGTCCGCATTGAGTTATTGTTTTATGACCATATACGACACCTGTCAGCACACTGAGCACCAACAAGACCCTACCATCCAAGATGCTTGGTTCCAAAACCCTCATTTTGACTTCAACTTACCCCGCCGACTTCTCACCGCCACGCACTAGTCGTCATTACCGCTTACGGCGCCGCTTCATTACAGCACTGCATCTCGCGAGTCTGCTGGCCAGTTTGATCGCCATTTCACTTTTTGCGGCGGCTATTCCCCGATGGAACGCCAATTTCTTCCATAATACAGGCCCCAATAGGGGCGACTGGACCGATGGCATGCCCCTAGGGCCCCTGACATTTGCCTTCGTCTATCATGCGATCGTCCTGGGTCAGCAACGAAGGCAACAGAACTCGCGATCGACGGAGGATTCGAGTCTTCGCCCTTCACTTTCCCGACGAGGTCTGATTATACATACGACGGTCCCTATTCTTGTCTTGCTCAGTCTTCTTCCGGGTCTGCTCCTCGCAGGCTACGGCTCTTTGTTTCGAGTCTGGCAGCCTGCAGTACGCACACAGTCTGGGATCCTCGTGTGCAATATGCTGAATATTTTTACTCGGGAATGTGCGCCAACGCTCTACGACATCGGGAACTTGCAGCTTGCAGGCATCGCATTTGGGACGGTCGTGTGGAGCCTGCACTTTGCCCTGTTGCTGGTGAGTCTCCGTAACCTCAGGCGCGGTATGCTGGTCAAGCAGCTCCAGAGGGAGAAGATGGCGCAGTATGCCCGAAACGAGCGGAGCTACTCCCGGGGAAGTAGACAAGGCTATGCCAGTCGACATGGTCCCACTCCCAGCCACAGTTCGGGCGACCACAGCAGTGCCTGGCCCCAACATGTGTATTCAGAGCGATACCGAGGAAGCGGCTCGCGGTCTAGCCTAAACTCTAAGCCTGGGTCGGGGACAGGATCAAGAAGCAACTCGCTTACCATGAAGACTAGCGACAGTCAGCACCGCCGGTCAGCAACAAACGCGCAAGATCACCAGCAGGTGGTGCCCATCTGCCTGGTTCAAGCGCCCGAAGAGAGCCACCCACCCGTGTCACACAGGGATGCGTGATTGTTCGCCTGTGCCAACTCCGCCTCTCAGCTCTTGATGGAACTTTTGTAATGGGTGGCAGCAGATTAACGAGGCACTGTCGGTATATTTAGGCTCCTCCGAATCTCGGGTTTTCAACAAGAGGATTCCAAACTCCGGTGTGCTGCTGCTAATAAGCAATACATCCCCAAAGTCGAGATGGTCTGGGCTTACATATCCCTCTGGATATTGCTTGGGATTATATTTTTGTTTTCCTCGTGCGAACCCAGTGGATCCAAGGGCCAAGGAACACATATTCCATCTGTACCCGTTGCTTTCCACTCTTCATTATCCCTTGTCTTCCAGAAACGACCTCGTCCCTTGGCTCGTCACGATTGATCAAAACTGCCGAGACCCACCGATCCTGCTCCGGTCAGGCCCGAGCCTAGTTGTGCCTGATAGGGCAGACAAGGGAACGAGCATGGCTGGGCTGCCACCTGGCGTGGATATCCAGGTGCCAGGATGACAGATGCTCACCGCAAGTAGATCGTCACCAGCCCTTTCGTCCCGCTTTGGCGAAAGAAAATCTTCCTGTCGTGGCCAGTCAGCTTGCACGAGTCGATGACCGGACGTGGGGTCAGTTTTGGTCCCCCCAACGATGCAACTGGGACAGGATTTATCTGTCTGTGACACAACCTGCTATCAAGAGCTATTGCAACGCAACCAATCCCTAGGCCTGAGATGGTAACGAGCCACCTGATTTGGGAAGGTCTCTCGGCTCTCCTCCGATCGACTAGAGCATGACACCAAACCTTTTTCCCTGGGACTTTTCCACCACCGAAGTGGGACGTCAATCCTACATGAGTAACAAGTCGACAAAATCATACAGAAGGCGAGGTGGTTTGGGTACTGAGGACGTCGTACTTGTATGGAATTCGCGAACCCCACGGCTTTCAAGTGCGCTATGTACGTACGATGGGTGAGACGAGGGATTGCTGCGCCTCGTGTTGGAGGGACTTCCACCTTGCAGCTTACGAGGTACTGGGTACCGAGTCCATGGCACTCGACCTATGCGGCCCCAAGGAGGATGAGGCACAGAATGTACTCGTGTGTTCTACTCGGTACCTAGTACGGTATATGTCTGGCGTGCCCTGTGTAGCGAGTACTCGGCATAGAAAGCTGGGATGGAGAAGATTCTCGTGCACCCATGTCGAGAGCTCATTATTGTCGCCGACTCGTCGCCGACTTGTCAGCGTCACTGTTGGTTTTACTACTGCTTGTATCTACCTCGTTACCGTACCTCGATACCTCGATTACCTCGTCCTTCGCACGCCTTGGTACGCACGTACGTAAGTGAGGTCCACCCAGTACCTAGCGAGGAGGTACCTAGTCACTCATTACTTGCTCAGTGCTCAGTGCAGTATTCGCCGGACTTGTTCTTGTTTTCTTGTCCTTGTCCTTTGTTCTCTGCTCGTTCTCCTGCCTCTTGTACTCTTGAACTCTAATTTTTTTCCCCCCCCCTTCCCGGTTCTCCCCAAGTCCCTGGTCCTCTTTCACTAGGTACATAGTGTACATAGACAAAACCCCCACGCCCTCCCTCCGGCCTCTTGGCCCCTTAGCAATTCCCTCTCTCCTCTCGTCACCCTCGTCGTTCTGGGTCTGGGTCTAGTGCCTCGTATGCTGACTCGGCCGCATCGCGAGGACCCACGAGGCTTGGTCTCCATGCCAGGTACCTGTTCGCCGAGGGAATGGATACCTCAGAAAAGAGAGAGAGAGGGAGAGAGAGGGAGAGAAAAAGCTTTCCGTACTCGTACTCATGCTCTTCCTCATCCTGGTCCTCGTACTTGGAGACAGACCATTACCATGGTTGTTGAATAGACAGACCACCAAGTCATACTCACCACCTGTCTCGCTGTGCCTATTTGGGCTTCTCTTCTCGACGCTCATCTTGTTGTCATGCTACCATGCTTCGCTTAACCAACACCTCAACACGAGTCGACTCGACCTCCATTAATCACTTGTACCTACACAGAATTCATCCGTCTGGAGCTTTGCGCAAGTGTTTCTTCTACCTATCGTCATGAGGGTGTCATTGTCGTTGAAAACTATGTAGCTATGTGGATTTTGGAATCTGTTTTTCTTCCTCTCCCTTTCTTCACGGCTTCATTGGTCTCGAATGCACCCAGTTCGCCTCAATTATCAGTCTTTCCTGTTTCTCCCTTTGGGGGCCTTTCTTTTCCATCATTAGTAGGGCAGCTTACCTACTGGCATCACGTCAACGACCTGCGTGTTGGCATGATCCATGTCCTTCCAGCCAGTCATGCCCGCTAGCCCGCTTCGTGAACCCCATACCTGATCACCATATCCGACGACTCAAAACACATTCGCTGAACCCTTCAGCCCTTATGTCCATTTCGGATCTGATCCGTTCCCCCCTAGTCCCACTGCCATAGTTTGAAGGCCGTGTTGTCCCTTCCTGTGGTCATGCTGAGGGAGCTCTCGCTCCCGGGACTCAACCATTACTTGTGACCCGTCTTGTTTATTTCCTCAGCTCAAAAATAGGCCTATTACCATTGAAGAGTGATGCACTGAGAAGCCATTTCGAACCATAATCCCAATGTTTGCAGATTCATTCTCTTTTAATCCTCCCAGACCCCCATTGTAGGTTGTAGTCGGTCTCTAGGATAAGTGGAATGCTCCTTGGCCCTCTCGAATAGCCACAAACAGCCTCTCCTTTAGTACGGCCTGCGAGGTGTAGTCTGGAAGCTTGAGGTAGTTGACACAAGTCATCACACTAGGCAGATAGTCGTCGGATGTGTATGGTGGCTCGCTGGGCTTGCAAACCACAGTAAACATCGGCGTGAGACTCTTGAAGCCTCCGATGGGAAGTTTCGGGCTGCCAGTGACGAACTGTAGAAAGTCGCGACGTTGAGGCAGTGTCAACTCCGACATGGTCTGCAACAAATTCTTGACGCTCTTGCTGTCCATGTTGTATCCGTGATCGGCTTTGACAGAGTCCATTAGTGTTTCGATGCTCCAGTCCTCGTCGGTGCGACCAAATAGCATGACAAGCTCATCCGGCGTGAATGCCCGCAAAGACGAGTATGAGAAGACTTGAGAGAATCCGGTCTGAAAGGCCTCAATCTGAGCGCGTACACCGCTTCCCAGACTAAGATCGAGGACTCGCTCGACATATTGCTGGACATTTTTCATGGTCACGCTGACGTTCGAGCCATCTGGAATGAGCTCAATGCTAGGATAGCCAGGCAGGGTGAAGTCCAGCATGAGATCCTCAACTTTGGCTCCCCGGATTGTGAGATCCCCGATCGCCTGCGTCTTCTCGTCTTCTGTCAAAGATGAATCAAGTTCGATTCCTGCTTTGGCTTTGAGGAAATGTTGAAGCTGAGATAGAGAATTGGCCAGGTCCTGGTCGACTGTGCGCAACAGGCCAATCGAGGGAGCAACATTGCTGGCCCCGCCCATCTTGAAAAACGTTGGGCTGAATGCGATGTCGATGATGCGCGAATCAAGCATCGATCGAGCCACGAATTTGCCGAGCGTCTTGAACAACAGCAGTAACTTCTTGCCAGCCTCGCTTCGGCTCTCCTCCGAGCTCATCGGGATCGGGAAAAGACCATTCTTGCCAAAAGCGAACTGTTCATTCTCACCCGAGTCGTTCTCACGCCACATCTTCAGCTTCTTCTTACAGAACTCCTTCGACACGGTCGAGTAAAACTCGAGGGTGGGCCCGAGACCAGTTCCGACTTCTTCAAAGTACTCAACTTCCAGGACACTGGGCGAGGCACCATACATATCCATAACCTTCATGGCTGACTCCAAGATACGATGACGAGAGATGCGCACTTTCTGACGCTGAGGCCGGCCCAGCATAGGTCTGTCGTCTCGGCGACGATCGCGCCGGTCATCGTTCTCTGATTGGCTGTTCTGCCATCGAATCATAGAACGTGAATAACCAAACGAGGTTGACTGCAAGAAAAGGTGTCTCGTCTCAAAGGGGAACAGGAACGGAAACGACCGGGCAAGGTCTTCGCTCCAATCTGGCAAGCAGTTACTAGCCACAATCAGGGGTTCCTCCAGTTGGCGATTCATCTTAGCCGTCAGCTTGGTGTTGATAAAGGATGCAAGGGATTCTGGGTAGAGCTTTGTCTCCAGTTGTCCAATGGAATCTTGGAGCTCATCAAGATTTGCGTTGAGCTCGTGAAGGATTCGGAGCAGAGCGAGAATAGAAGAAGTGACGGGATGGTCGCTGAACGATGCCGGCAGGCCATTTTGGGATCCCCGGGTTTCGCTCTCGTCCCACGTCGACGTATTCGAAGGAGTAGCAGGAGGGCCGCGGACCTTTCTGAATTTGACTGTATGGACACCAGACCAGACGCTCCGCGATGCAGGAAGCTGTGGCTGGTCACGGTTATGGTGGACTGCTCGGTAGATGGTTGTGTTATTTGGGATAATCTTCCCATCGATGCTGAACTCAATGTGCCAATCTTGAGGAATCGACGCAAGGGCTTGGGCATATGAAGGACGAGCTCCTGGCCCCGCTGGAGATGGCCCTGGCGATTGTCCTGAGGATGGTGGGCGAGTGCTGCCAGGAACTGGTGTCCCTGGCTGAGGGGTAAGCACTCTGGTACCGTCTTCTTTTCGAGCCGTCACCTTGCCACTGGAGCCAATTTCCATGTTCACAGCTCCTGGTTCAGGCGCTTCTGTATCCGAGTCATCCTCTTCCAGGCCATCTACGAAGGCTTCAAGTGCGCCTTCTCCTTCTGCAGCTGGAGCTTCAGGATCTTCGAGAACCTTTTCATCGGCACATTCTAACTTGTTAGAGGTGTCCTCGGAGCTAGGCTCTGGTGCCGAAGGCTGGTTGGATGAAGACGCCAGGGAACGCCGGGTCAACCGCCTTCGCTCGGGCTTGTCAGCCGCCTTCTTATCGACAGGGTTCTGGCGCTCTTCAGATCGCTGTTTCGTTCGAGAAGAGACTCGGGACTCGGGACGAGAGTCCGTCTTCCCTGCTGGAGCTGGAGAGCTCAGTTCCTGGCCGAAAGGAGATAACAATCCTGACTCAGCCGCACCGGAGAGATGAGCGAGACGAGCATTTGCGAGCTGCTGTAGCATGTCTCGGCGTCGTTGGGCAGACGCCGGTCGTTCGGACTGGCTGATTCGAGGTCGAAGGTAGTCATCAAGGGCTTTGAAAGTGGCAATAGCGTGAATAGAAACCACCATATCACGATATGTAGGCGGAATATCGCTATCGGCATCCGCTGAAAGTTTTAGACGGAGCTGACGCGACAACATTGATGTGGAGCTGCTCCGATTGTTCTCGGAAGCATTGTTGTTGACAGTGAGAACTTCGAAATGTTCTGCACGGCTTAGAAGATCTTGCAACTTTTGGATGAGCACACTGAAAGGCGTCGCTGCAGACGTCGCAGACGTCGTTTTCACATTGCCTTTGTAGATCGTCTGCATGAAAGCTGCAACGAAGTGTACCCTGGCAGTGCTGGGCGTCGTGGGTACTTCAGACAGTACTTTTACAAGCACACGAATGATCCCGGAGTCCAGCAACTCGGAGCTTGTTATACTTTCCAAGGCATCACCATCGAAATAACTTGCCAGGCGAATGAAGAGGTTGTTTTCGGTTTCCACCTGCTTTGATTGAGCGTAGAAATTCTCAATATCGTTTGCCAGCTCGTGGAGGTCGGCACGGATCTTCGAGGCCTTTTCCTTCAATTCCCTACCCTTTGGCGTGTCGTATTTTTCCAAGAACTTCTTCGCACGCATGACCACCATATCAGCAACTCCGGCAATGGCCAGTGGAGACGGCATCTCATCATCATCGTCAGAAGAGTCTGAACTCTGAGAATCATCTAGATCATGAGCGTGGTGATGTCGGACTCCAATGTCGTCGTCCTCATCTTCCTCGTCGTCATCTCTTATTTCTTCGTTGTCTTCGTCGTCCGGATCGTCGTCTTCATTTTCCTCGCCGTCGTCTTCGTCGACTTCTCCCTCGTGATCTTCGTCGTCAACGTCATCGCGCCCCTGGCGTTGCTTCTCGTCGTCCATTGTTTGAACTCCGTTGTCGCCCAGACCGCTGGTGCGACCGTTCGCATTATTGCTTTTCGAAGATTTGACATCGATTTCGAGGGGCCTATCAGCCAATTTCTTGATCTCGCCAATGACACCTTCGCGGTGAAACTGGTATTGATAAATGTCTTCGAGTCTCTCAAAAAGCAACTCTGACGCCTGGAGGGCAAACATGACCAAGCTTGGATGGTCCTCTTGAGATAATATCGACGCAAGGAATGATGCATATGGTACTGGGCGTAGAGCCTCCTCGATGACAGAAGTTTCAAGGTTGGAAAGGATCTTGAGCTGGGCGATAAGTACTTTCTGGCGGACACTCAGGTTCACCGTACTTGAGTAAGCGTCCGTCAACGTCGGCAGGAGGATGGTCGCAAAACGGCGAGTCTCTTGCTTGCAGTCATGCAGGAGCTCCAATCTTTTCTCCGTCTTTGATTGCTGCGCTGATTGCTGGTTGCCCTCATCGGACATGTAGTCATCCACATCTTCGTAGACTTCGAGATCCGACTCAGTGGAGAGGTTTGGGCTAGGAAGGAGTTCACATATGACGTTCAGGGTCTCGTAGATCTGTTCCCTGGGTCTATGTATCAAGGCTTGCATGATAACAACGCTATCAATTTTGGAGGCAGCGTCTTCGGTCTCAGTAGGAGGCGAAACCCCTGTCAGGATCTGGTACAATGTATCGACGACGTTCATCTTCAACAGTTCTGCAGAAAGTCGGGGGCTTGCTCGTGCTACTATCGCGAGCACTCGGAGAAACTCGGTATGAATATTCGCGCCGATAAGGTTCGTAGTACCTGGCAGGAGAAGCCCCAGGATTGCTCGAAGTAAGGGAGGATCAACCAGTTGCTCAAGCTTGTCCGGACTGTGCTTGAAGCTATCGATAACCCGAGTGACGCACAAGCAGCCTTGCTCAACAACCTTCTGGTCGTGACTGGACAAGACATTGAGAAGGATCGGCATAACATCTCGAATGACCGGGAATGAATCGTGAGGTATGTTACGACAGCAATTGGCTGCAGTGGTAACAGCAGTGCGCTGTGTGCCGGTGGCAAAAAAGTCAAGGAATTGAAGACAAGCGGTCAAGCCGCCCTCGCGAACAATCGATCCAGGGAAGTCGATCGAGACTTTAGACAACGTGCTCAAGGCCTGCTCGGCGACGTCGATGTACTGAATATCAAGCAACTTTTGACAGAGGACGGGCACAGCGCCTCCATACACCACGTTGGCAACCGAGCCTCGTAAAGCCTCCATCAAATTGGCAATACAACGACAAGCCAACAGCATCATCTCGGGATTCTCCTCACCCGTGATGGGATTGGGTTGCATCAAGGCCACGAGTTCTTTGACGTAGGGATCTGGCGAAAATTGGCCCGAGAGATTGTCTTCGTTTGAGACCAGCAGTAGATTCGACAACTCTTCTAGAGCCACCATCTGCATCGTGGGATTGGACGTCTGGCGTAGGTTGTTCAGGATATCTCTCAATCTTGATGACATGCCACTCATCATTCCACTCAAGGCTCGTAACGTACTCGACAATCCTGAAGAAGGGCCGCGTCCAGCACCGAAAAGGGCAGCGGAAAAGGGATCAGGGCCATCGTCTTCATCCATATCGGTATGATCGTCCCCGTCGTTACTATCGCTGTTGGGGGGATGAGCAAGAGGCGAAGTGTCTTTTTCTTGACTCGAAAGTTTCTCGTCTTCTTCCTCGTCTTTCATCTGAACATCTTGGTCCTTCTTCGCTAAACGCTTCCTCTGCCTGCGTGGCTGAGAGGACGGGGCAGGAGGAGAGAGGTCTGTGGTCAAGGTCAGTCCCAACGACGTGTTCCCTTCTGAAGCACAAACTACCTTGAGTCTTGTTATTTCTGCTGGATTGCCGGCGTGAACTCGATTTCGAGGGTAACTGTTTCTCGGACTCTTCAGGGTATTTTGAAGAGGTACTGAATATGTCAGATCACTGTAGCTAGGAGTGGATTCTCTTGAATCATTTGCGTACCCATTATTAGACATCGCCACCTCGTTCTGCGCTGCTCTTCTCCGAGTCGACCGGGAGACAGGCTGTGCGATTGCTGGCTGAGGCTGGGCCTGCTCGGTCAATTTTTGTCTCTTTCCACGACGGGTCGATGGGGTGCTCGTCTCTTCAGACCGATCGATAGGACTAGATGCTCGGAGAGCCGGGGCCTTTCGCTTTCTCGACGAGGCGGTCGGGCGGTTTGGCGTGGAGATGGCCGTCGACGGGTTGGAGGGAGCGACAGGTGAGGTGGTCGAGGTGCCAGACTCTGCAGCGAGCCTCGCAGATGAACGAGTGACTCTGCGAGACATAAGCAATGGATCTCGTCAAAATATGTCAAGAATGTAATCTGAACAGAGGTCAAGAGAGAAGGACAGTGTAAATGTGCGGGTCATTTAAAATATGTGAGGTTTTAAAGTGGCCGTGGTTTCTTGTTCAACCAAAGTGAGGAGCGAGGCGGAGAATGAGACAGGGATTCCTTTTGAGCCAAGCAGCCGAACGCAGGTGAAGGGCAAAGCAGTGAAAATAGAGGCAAGTGAGCAGTACCTGGATCTGCGGGTGTTATTCGAAGAATCTGGATGCAAGGAAGTTACAGAGGTGGTGGTAGTGGTGGTGGTTGCAGTGGAGGCTGCAGTTGCAGGTTGTTGATCAGATGGAACAAGGCCTTGAGAACGTCCGTGGATGAGGTGTGAATTTGAAGGGCGTGCAGGCAGATTTGCCATGTTAACCCGCCATCTGCAGCGACGGGAAGATGCTAACGGTGGCCAGATGGGGAAAAGAACGTACAACGAGATGAGCGAAACGAAATATGAGTCTGATACTATCTTGTGCTATAGTAGAAATAGAGACTGAGTTGGGTAGAATGACCAACACGACGTCGGTCGGTAATGCAAACCAACCGCAGCCCGTAGCCCATAGCCCTTAGCCCTTAGCCCGTTGGCGCAAGAGCGCAACACCATGCCCTATTTAGCCACTGGGCGACGGGTGCGTATCAGTTTCGGGGGGAAGGGGGGTTCGCCCCTCCTGCTTATGGGCGTCTCAGAGTATATAAGATATGACGGTCTTCCTCCCATCCAGCATAGCTGACTGAAGCTCAGTGTCCCCCTTCCCAGCAGCCTTGGGCCTACATCCAACAGGGTAGCAGTTTACAGAAGCTAAGGTAATGCCTTGAAGAACCCATCATAAAGAGGCGACTCTTGTCATGCATGATCACTTTGGCCAACTGCTCAAGTCCATCTCACAGGAAACTCGCATGACGCCAGATTTCGTCAGGCTCATCCATGCGAGCGAGGCGAATGGGAATGCTCAACAACCAGCATCTTGTCCTACACTGGTTTTGATAGCCTGATGGGTAATTTGATGTGTCGCAGGCAAATTTCCTACCTTGATTCATCGTCATCTCATAACATCATCTTTGCCCTGCACCGCCTGCCATCATTATGGCAAATATTAATCCTAGATATTGTACTTCTTATGGTAATCATGATGGTTCTATGGAAAACAGTATGGAAATCAGATTGTCAAGTGCGGTCCCTTCACGCCCATCTTTTGTCTCTGCTGTGACTACAGTATTTGTATCAACAATTACGCCATCTCCTCGTCAGCTTCTCCATCCTCACTGCCACACTTCATACACCCCACTTCTCACAGCAGAAGTCAACGAACCCTTCTCCAAAGTCCAAAGCCGGCCGCGCACTAGCAAAAACTCTCCATCTGCTTTTACATTGAGGAATTACTCAACCTAGGCCCGGCGGGCTAGGCTGCCAGGCTAGGCTGGCTGGGAAAAGCTGCTCCTCAGGCCGCTCGGAGATCGACCCAGACCCTTCTCCCACTTTGAAAACCAGCTCGTTCTCGCTGCTGGCAAAATCTGCAGCTCGTCCCTTGGGATTATTATTTTCCTCCTCACTTCCTCCACTCCATATAGCCGAAGCCGGACCTCACTGCCCACGCCGCCCCTCCGACAAAACTCTCTACCCGGGCAATGGTGCCCTGAGATGCTGAGTCGCCCTCACACTCCCTTCCTTCCGTCCTACTCAATCATAAACAGATCTTTGCGCAGGTATTTGGCTGCATTTCCAAAACCTACGCAAGGCGCAAGAGCCCCGCTATCCGGCTCATCCACCCTCATAGATACGAGTAGTATCCCTCGCTCTGACAAATCACCTCTACCCTCGGCCATCTTCCTGTCTCCTACGCACTCCCGTCGAGGCTTTCCAAGGACAAAGAACACCTTCGTTCAGACACGGTCGACCGTTCTGCAAGCCATCACCGGTGACGGCGACGAGATGGACGAATACCGCTTCCCCGACTCCCGCCTGAAGAAGAAGATGGACGACCCAGAAAAAACACCTCTTCTGCTGGTTGCCTGCGGTTCCTTCTCACCAATTACCTTCCTACACCTGCGTATGTTTGTCATGGCTGCCGACTACGTCAAGCACAACACGGACTACGAGATGATCGGCGGATACCTGTCTCCTGTGTCGGACGCCTACAAGAAGCAGGGCCTAGCTCCAGCAGAACACAGGTATGCAAGCCGAGCTCCGGCGTAACGTACTCTCCATTGCTGACAGATCCTCCTAGAGTCGCCATGTGCCAACTTGCAATTGATAAAGCCTCCAGCTGGCTCATGGTTGACCCGTGGGAAGCTGAAAAGAAGGAATACCAGCCAACGGCAAAGGTCTTGGATCATTTCGACCATGAAATCAACGTCATCCGGAAGGGTATTGACACTGGAAACGGGACCCGGAAACCCGTCAAGATATCGCTCCTCGCTGGGGCCGATCTGATCCAGACCATGTCCACCCCAGGCATTTGGAGCGAGAAGGATCTGGATCACATTCTCGGAAGATATGGCACTTTTATCATTGAAAGATCCGGCACCGACATCGACGAAGCCCTGGCCAGTTTGCAAAACTACCGTGACAATATCCACGTTATCCAGCAACTCATACAGAATGACGTCAGCAGCACAAAGATAAGACTTTTCCTGAGGAGAGGCATGAGCGTACAATACTTGATCCCAGCACCAGTCGTCGAGTATATTGAGCAAAATCATCTGTATAGAGACGATGCTCGTTCGTCGAGCACTACCTCGATTCAACACCCGGACAACGACAAAGGAAAGGCCAAGGAAGTCCCGACGACCAGTTGAACAGCTCACCGCCCACTTTTATAAAGTTGTGTGATGTAACCATCTGGCCAAGTTGATCCATCCTCGAAGAGGGTCGATGTAAGGCCAAACCTGACAAACAAGGCAGGTTCTCTCCCGTGTGACAGGGAAAGGCACGACGAGAGGGGACCAAGAGCACCTTTTGCGATGACGATAGTGAGTGTAGCTCACGGGTTGGTGCTGGAATTGTGTTCTGGCATAATGCGAGGTGCTCTACCTGTGTGATGAAAGAGAGGTCAATGCCTGCCTCAGCATCGCATTCATCAACGACGAGACGAGACGTCAAGAGCGCGTGGAGTTGGCACAGTGAGATGATGGCAGATTGAGCGTGTTGGAAAACCGAAAAAAGGCTGGCGCCGGCGTTTATGCAGTGGTTGGATGATTTGCGCCCAGAGTATGGTATCTTTAGAACGGCGATGTGCACAGGTGATGGAGAATGTCGATGTGAGGCCACCTGGATCATTTGAGTTCTGACGGTGGTCGTTTTCCTCTTCTGATAGAGGCCACAGTGCCGCGATAGAGGAAGTCTCGATCTGACCGAGAGACCAAGTTAGAAAGAGAGAAGAGAGCTATACGTTGTATCATGATACATGTGCACGACTACCTAGCAATTGTCATGTTCTGAGTCATGATCACATCACACATCCACCTAACATCCATCAGTGACATACACTACCGGTACCGACACCGTCCAGTATCAAGCGCTTTTGACACTCCAATGATTCCCATCATATGTATATGTAAATGTTTATATCTACCCAGCTGTAGTCCTAGTGCTTGCTTAGTACATGAAACCTCAGCTTTTGACATATACCAGATCCATACATTTGACATATGCATAGATAGGTACATACATGGCAAAGATACCTATGTACCTACCTACCTACCTACCTACCTACCCATCCACCCACCCATGTAGATACATTTTTCTCTCTGTTCTCGATTTTTAGAAGAGAATGCGAAAGATTATGTCCTTCAAGCAAGGAATCTTCCTCCCCTCCCCTCTTTCCATTGTTTTCACCCATCGCACCAAGACGCCGGATCACAGGTATCAAATAGGGGAAAGCAGAGAAAGAAAAAGTAATATGTATGCGCGGCCCTGCTCCTCCTCCTCATCCGCCTCTCGTGTTCTCCATCTTCCGTTTTCCCGGACCACAAGGGGCACCCCTCGTCGCCTCCGCGATCCATTCATTCATTCATGCCTCCACAAGGGAAAAAATGGGTTATTTTGTGTGTTTCTCGTCTTGTCTCGTACCATCTCAGCTCGTTTCGTGACCTGCTAAACCCCTTCCAAAAAATTACTCAAGAGGCCATCAATTTTTACTTTTTGAGAGAAGGGGCGGCGGCGGCGGCGGCGGCGGTATGACCACCCATGTCAGGCCAGGCCAGGCCATGCATGCTATTCCTTGACGTGCACTCCCACTTCCACTCCTAGACCCGCGCCCTGTCATATCCTATTCTACTCCTTTTTAATTCCAAGCTGCCCCCGCCGCAAGACCGTTGTCGGTCCCAACCCTCCCAGCTTCCTGATTGGGCCCGACGCCCGGCCTGTTTTGGGCCCAATCCCTCAGCTGTGTCCTATCCTTGCCCGTGTACTTGATCAGGTCTTCGTCAGTGTATTCCGACGGGCGCCGCGAGGACTGGAAGGACTGGAACTTTTGGCTGAACCACCCCTTCTTGGGTTCGCCCGTGTCATCGCCATCGTCATGGATGTCTGGGTTGCCGTTGGCGTACGAGGCCGTGGACATGTTGCGACCGTAGCCATCGTATTGTTGTTGTTGGTGATCGTCGCCGTCGTCGTGGTCGTTATCATTAGCATTATTGTTATTGGGATTGTACCCTTCGGCCTGCGAGTAGCGCGGTCCTCCTCCTCCCCTCTGGCCGTCTTGATAGTTGGGGTTTGCTGGGTCGTTGGCGGTAGCGAATGCGTTTTTGGCCATGTCGGACGTCGGGTCCCCTCCTCCGTCCTGCATGCCGCCGCCGTTGGCGTACGACTGCTGCCTCTGTTGTCGCTGATAGTCCTGGTTGTCCCAGTCACCACCGTCCATGGTCTGGTACGGTCTCAGATCTCCATCGTTGTTGTTGTTGTTGTTGTTGTTGTTCCGATCCGTGGGCCCGCCGCCGGACATGGTCCTGTCGTTC